GAGGCACTTCTAGGCCCTTGGAAAGCATCGCTGCGATGCCCCGTGGTCGCGTCCCCCAGCGCCGCTCCTGCCCCTTCGCCGGTGCAAAGCCAGCGCCGTGCGCCTGCGCCGCTAAAGCAGAGAGGTTGTGCCAGCTCTTGCGCCGGAGATGCCTCAGCTCACTCTGTGCTGAGCTACATCGAGGCAAAAGATTTAGCACCCAAATGTTCCCCTCACCTCCAGTGGGTTTTCTGCCCGTTTACTGCTGAGCGTCCCCCAGCGCCGCTCCTGCCCCTTCGCCGGTGCAAAGCCAGCGCCGTGCGCCTGCGCCGCTAAAGCAGAGAGGTTGTGCCAGCTCTTGCGCCGGAGATGCCTCAGCTCACTCTGTGCTGAGCTACATCGAGGCAAAAGATTTAGCACCCAAATGTTCCCCTCACCTCCAGTGGGTTTTCTGCCCGTTTACTGCTGACCCAGGGGCTGAGTGCCACGACTGTGTCTTGCCCGTATTTGATGCAGGGTCTGGAGTTCAGGGAGGGGTTGCCTAGATCTGGGCACCGGGCAAGACCCCGTTAAGTGGTTAAGAACCCTTACAAGGTCAGGGTCAGTAGCAAATTAAAGTTTTACGTTTAAAAAGGAATTGCATTCTTCAGAGCAGCCACACTTCTTTCTGCAGTAAACTCGCACTGTCCCCTTTATCCATGGGGGATGAGAAGAGAAAAGAGAAAAACCAAGCAAACCCTCCAACGGCCCCATGGTCAGTGAGAACACCTCCTCTGCGGAAGGGCCAGAGCACCGACCGCACACATCGCCCGGACCCCAACCCCCTGAACCCCGGCGTCACCACGCAGCGTTGCCCGAACGCCCACCCTCCTCCTGCCCCAACTCCCGGGAGGCAGAGCAGGGATCCTTCCAGATTGCTCTCTGCAAGGAGAAATGTCATTTTAAAAGAGCTTTCTCGTCCGTTTTGCCCTCGGAGGTATTTGGCTTGCCTGTGAGCTCCTCCCTCCCCTCAGAGGGCTGGGGCACCGTTGCTCTCAACGCCCACTGCAGCAGTCCCGCGGAGCCCACCTGTCACCCACATCCTGTTTTTGATCGTGGCCCTGAACGTGTCACATTGTTGTCTTGTAGCAACCAAAGCGTGCTCTTGCCGCCGCTGGAAGAGCATCATTTATTTGGTCTTTCTTAAGGCCCTTCTTAAGCTCGTCAGGTGTCCAGGCTCATTCAGCCTTTCCACACCAAAAGCAAGCACATATCTCCCAAGCTACGTCAAATTAACTTTCCATACCAAAAGAAATCACTGCTTTGGACTAGAAAGCTGCACTAATTCCCGCCAGAGACACAGCCTTAGGGAGCAGAATTCATACAGTGTTTCAAATACCTTTCTTTGCCCCTCTGTACAGCAAGGAGGAGGATGTAGGCTGTGACCAAGGCACCCTGTCCAGCCACACCTCTGCCACTGGGTCTCCATAAACCAGCTGCAACAAAGGCAAAAGGAGACTTTACATCAGGAGCTGTAGGGGGAAAAGTGAAGCAGGCCCTGGTCAGGCTGACACATTTTTATCAGTCTCTGCAGATCAGCCAGCCCACACTCTCCAAGGCAGAGCGCTCTGGCCTGGTTTTGGGTGCGCACTGATTTTCACCCCAGTGAAAGAGTCAGTAGCACTGTTGGGCAAAGCTTCAACCCTCCAGTCAGACACATCGGGCTAGGAATATTTGATCTTCTGACACAAATGCATACAACAGTTGTGGGTCCAAATATTCCTTGGCCAGGTAGAGAGAGGAGTGCTCCCGCTCCGGAGGAGCAAGGCGCTGCCGGCCACCCGCAGCCACGTGCACCAGCACGCCGGACTGAGACTGCCTGGAAGCCTCCACGTGTTCCTGCACGTGAGCAGGTGATGGACACCGCGCTTCCCTGGGCAGCCAGCCTGGCACCTGGAGCCAAGCGTCCTGACGGCAACGCGTGACTGAGTTCAAGGTCCCTTTCCAAGTGCTGGAGCTGTTTGTTCTCTTTGGGGCACTATGACAACCTTCACCATACTTTCTGGTTATTGTGCCCACGGCTGCTTTCGGAGATCTATGTATTTGCCTTTAACTCCACAGTTTGGCCAAATAGAAATAATCTCTACTTCTTTTTTTCTCCTTTCAGCTGGTGTTATTGGCAAAGAAAAGTAAAACTCTATCTTGAGACAGCAAATCACAGGCAAAAAAAAAAAACCCTGATGCCAAGCCACAGAAACAGTGTCACTGGGAGAAAATCTGCCTTTTCTCCATGTTCTTGAAGGACACCAGGGGAGGTTTAGGTTGGAAATTAGGAAAAATTTCTTCATGGAAAGGGTGGTCAAGCATTGGAACAGGCTGCCCAGAGAGGTGGGGGAGTCCCCATCCCTGGAAGTGTTCAAAAAACGGGCAGAGGTGGCACTTGGGGACATGGTTCAGTCTGGTCTACCCTTGACTGGTTTAGTGTGGACTTGGCAGTGTAGGTTAATGGTTGGACTGGATGATCTTAAAGGTCTTTTCCAACCTGAACGATTCTATGATTCTATGATTCTATGTCTAGCAATGAGCTTCAGAGCCCAGCCCATCACCTGAAATGCCCCAGCCTGGGCTGACGGATTGGCTTTGGCTCCGTGCGGGTGTCAGACCAAAGCCCACCTCCGGACCCAGGGGCTGGGGAATGAGCTGACGGCAGAGGGGCTCACGGGCTGGGCTGCAGGCGTTCGGCTCAGCAGCGCAGACAGAACATCATTCCCACACGTAAGCACCTCGTGAGCTGCTCTTCTGGTTGACCTCCAGCTCTCCCGGAGACTTGCCATACTACCATCTACTTAATCCTTTTAAGAGAAATTACAGACACCAGTACAGATTCTGCTGGCTTAGAAACGTTCATTAATTAGGGAAGTATTTGGAACAGGTTGTTTTTATTTGGGGTTCATCTCAGGGGGAAGCTATTGGGTTTAGCCTGAGGTTTCTGAAAAGACCAGGAAATCCTGCCACAGCACTACCTGAACAGTAAACAACCGCATGGTCTGCTCAGTCAAGAGACAAATGAGTCACACAAGGTATTTAAACTATACTTAAAATTCTTCCAATTGTATTTCAAAACCATAATTAGGTTGCGTGGGCTGAACAAACAGCCTATTTCTGTGTTGCCTGTGAGGGAAATAAAATTTCTCTTTTTCTTCACATCTTTGCCCATATTTATTAAATCACTTCATATAAACTACCAAGTTAATCTTCCTGCCTGAAGTCTCTGCTCCTGAAGAAATGTGAACAGCTAACAATCTTCCTGCCAACGAGCAGTGGGACCACCAGCCCCAGGGGCACCTCCTGCAGCCCCCGGGACCGTGGAGGCAGCGGGTCCCAGGCACAGCCCTCTGAGGAGGTGCCAGGGTGCGACCTGCGACCTGCCACCGCGTCCGGGCACAGAACAATCCCGCTCGTCCCCACAGGACAATCCTCTGCCTTTACTTCTCTCACCTTAAAGAGGTCAAATCAATCCAAGCTATGCAGTTGCATCATTGTAAGCGGATGAGCATTTTCTCAAATCTGGTGAAGTTCTGGCCAGGGGACTTGAGCGCTGTGCCCTCCGGGGGTGCGGGGAGACCCCGGCACTCCGGGGACTCTTGCCGAGCTGACACCGTGCAGAAAACGCTGTTTCTAGCAAGGCTGGCAGGCACTGCAAGAGAGGAGCATCGCAACTCCGGCAGGGCACCGCAGAGCCGCGCTGGGAAGCAGGAGATGCACGAGGACCCGACGCCCTTTGCCGGCTCCCCGCTGCCCACCGCCTGCACCCCAACGATGGCGGCCACATCCGCCGCA